ATGTGAGATATAATTGATTAGACTTTTTCTGGCTGTAATGAAAAGTGGCCATTTTAGAGATTTCATTGTAATGTTATTAACAACTTCCCTTCTTACAATTTCAATAGTAATTATTTTCTTACTTTATGGAAGAATTTTAATTAATTTCCAATTAACACGTCATATAAAGGGTGAAAAAAAGATAATCTGACTAACTTTGCTATGCAAGAAAATTTTGCATGCACATAAAATAACGTTTCTGTTATAAGGTTCATTGAACATTATTTAACTAATCATGATAGAATTCTTCTGTATCTAAAATGGCCAGATAATTATCATTCACCATGTACAACAAATAACTCTTAAATCAATTGCTAAATCACGCTCATTCTTTATTTAGATATCAAGATAAGAAAATTTTTTCCCTGCCTTTTTTCTTAAAATACAAATAAAACTACTTATTTTGCTAAGAAAGATGCTAAATGAGGCATATGATAATTCATTTCTAGAAAACTATTTTTTTAACAACATAATAATTTTCTTTTGATAAAAGTTTAAATGAATAAAAAATAACTGCAAAAACTTTTAAATTTAAGCAAGAATAAAATATCAATTAAAAAGGGTTAAGTGATAACTATAAAAAATAAACTTAGAATTCAAACCATCAAAACATGTTATAAAAGCAAAATATAGTAGTTCTAAAGATTATAGTAAGCACAAAATAAAAAAAATAGGCTTTGTTGATAATCTAATTACAATATATTAAACTATAATGTAATTAACATACCTGCCAACATTGGAGAAATAAAATAATGTAAATTTTACTAGCAACATTTTTTATTCTAAGTGTACAGTTTTGATATATTGTGAATAGACATGTAAGTCAAAAAGAGAAATGCAAAATTGGAAATAATATAAGCACTTACATTTAATGCAGTAAAAACTACGTATATAAATATTAGTTTTAAGATTTTTAAACCATTAACCAAAACTATAAACAGTCAGCATCAAAATAATTTTCATAATACAAAGTAATTAGCTTTATTTTACAGTATTTATTCGTATTTTGAACATAAGTAGCTGATTTGGCTTTGTATAGGAAATGTTTTATCAAAGTTCTGTTCATAAAGGTTACCAGAGAAATTACTTTTATCAAAAGCAAGCTTTTCATCAGAAAGTGATGAGCAAAATTTGTTGCTATTTTTTTCCCCCTTTAGAAACAATTTTTTAGCACTCTACATTGCTATGCGGAATGCAGACCCCTAACATAAAATTGCAATATTTTGTTTTCATACAGTTCATTTTCTAGTTGCCCAATTGACACACACAATTAATGATTTTGAAAATACACGATTCTGAAAACAGAAATTAACTTTTGTTCTGACGATGGGTAACAAGTACAATGCAAACAATCAAAGTTATTGCCAGATTTCCGTAAGCAAATAATGCATTTGTTATCTAGGAAAAACGATTCAGTGTCATGAATAAACGACTCACATTAGCATTTTCCCTTTATCTTGTTTTGCCGTCAAGGAAGTGCCAGAACTGAGGGACTGACCTTAATGTCATCTGTTGAGGAATAAGAGAAGTGCTTTTGCCATTAACGGATATTATTCACTAAAATATTTGTTAATTTATTTCAAAAATACAGAGATATTAGAGAATATACGCATAAACGGGAGATAATCGCAAAATATGGAGTCTTCGTTAAAAAACAGGAGATTTGGCAGGTATGTGTTAAGTTTTTATATTGGTCGAGTCTTACTGATTTAATTATTAATACTTAAAATATAGTGGTTAATTTTATGATGCACCATAATGATTAAAAAAATAGTTATATACACATAGTAACTAATTAAATTCTAGCAATCAATCACATAAAATTTGAAATTCAGATTTTCAGCAAGAGTAAAACTTTAATTACGAAACATTTACTTATAAAGAAATATTAATAACATACGATTTAAGACATTTATTCCATGGTGAGAGCTCTTTATAGAGAAATAAAGTTGTATAAAATATAATAAGTATAAAAATAACTTCTAAAATATTTAAGTAATTACACATATGAATGGAATTTATGTCATATTTTATGCATTCTACATAAAGAATTTTTTTCATCTTTTTTTGAAACTGGCACAGTTTGAGAGGGCAAATTGTTTTTAGTTCCTGGGTTAAGGACAGGGGGAACCCTCCAATGGACCATCGGAATAACTTGACACTAAATCATAATGCATCTTAAGATAAATAGAGAAAAGTAATAAATTTTATGCCATTTACAGATATTACTCAATGATAATGTTATAATCGTAACATAATCCATCCAACAAAGGGACAGCATGAGTATTGCAATGCACAACACACAAGTGCATCTATTCTGTTAAGTGGAAAATAGTGAGAAATCTAAAACCCAAAGCAATTCGAAACTTGAGCAGGAAGGAGGGAGATAACCACACAACAAAAATACAGAACATGCAGATTTATAATGCTTCTCAAGATTAAGAGTTTCAAGTATCAGGGAGTAGATAAGAAAGGCTTTCAGAAAAATTTTAGTTATTTCATGACATTTCACAGAGTCTACTGTTATAAAACGAAGAGCAGATGACAATAATCAGAAAGGGAAAGAAATGTATAGATCAATTACTTTCTCAAAAAATTAATGTAATAAAGAATGTGAAAGAAACACGAAGATGCAACAAAATTCAACCTCACCGAGATTTGGTGAGAGAAAATTATGTAGAAATATATGTTTTTGCAAATATTCTGATTGTTGAAAAGAAAATTAAACTAAATTTGGAAATTAAATTTTACAAGAAATAGTTTTGTTAAGCTTATGACAAAAAGCAAGTTAGAATTCAGAACAACAAATTATAGAATGAGTACAATGATGAATGTACTCATTATGTAATATGTAAATGAATTCATAAATGAACACTTAGAATTACACTAAAGAAAATGCTTATGATTTTAGAGCTATCTGTAATCAACTATGCTTTCTACAGCACTCAAACCAAATGTAGCTACAATTTTTGTTATCTCTTATTGCCAAAAAAGAAGTAGTAATCAAAGATCCAGATGCAGTTTTGAATAGTTTTAAAATACACAAATATAACTCGACCATTCAAACGCTAATATAATTTAAAAAATTCAATGATTATCTAAAAAAAATTTAAGCAAAATCATTTCTACGTAACTTTTAGTATAATAAGGGACTTTGTTGATACTTCAAGAAAAAAAAGAATGGACATGAAATAGCTTAGGTAACAAAGATGCCTTCTAGTAATTCTAGTATTCAAAAGATAGGATGGAACCTAAAATGTCTGTTAAAATGGTGAATGCATGAACATCTCTAAGCCTGCCCTACTTAGATAATTTGCCGTGAAATTCTTGAATTTTTTTTATTTTTTATCAGAGATAACGACACATTCCTTTTTTAACGCACTCTAACACTAATGGGAACACATTTAGAATTAGAGATTTAACATGCATCAGCTACCTATACATGCTAGATTTTTAATTGAACTCAACATGTAAACACACTCAATCAGAAATTTGAGCTTTTATAGAAAGAAAAATATACAATCCTAAGGTTAAGCACCTTCTAAAAAATTGGCAATTTTTTTCACTGACAGACTGCACAGAAAAGGCAGAGAGCACAAACGTTTTACAGAAATAAAATCACCAAATATTGAAAAATATATGTTTTTTATAAAAGTTTAACTTGAACTAGTAAATACTAAACAAGTATTTTTTAACTGCTAGGACTACTTAAATTTCATCAGAATTAAAAATTTTACTAACTACTATTAAGTTAAATAACATAATAAAGAAGGAATTTTTACAGATTTTTCCTCTAATAACTTTCAATGAATAGTAATTCATTTAGTGTATCATCAAATAAACAGCTGTGAAAAATGGAATCACAAGTCCATTAAATTTGGTAAATTGCAAAGTTTGTTGACTAAATTTTTTATTTTGAAAACTTGTGTAAGGGCTTAAACACTGTCAAAATTAGAGCCTCAATTATACTTGTGACTCTCAAAAACTGCAAAATTATTTATTTTTACAGCCATTAAATTAATTATTTTATAAATTTGTTTAACTAGTTTTTATTTTTATTTTTGCAATACTCAGAAGAAATTTTTTCTTAATAAAATTATAGAAAATAAATTTAGAATAAAATTTTAAACTACTAAATTCTATATTCATTGTATATAAAATACAATTCATAATAAAATAAATTTTTATGGGTTAAGAGACAAGAACAAATTTTTACTTAAGATTTTTAATGTTGTAATTTGCTTTAACAAACTTTTAACGACACAAGTCTAACTCAATTAAAAGTTTAACATTAATAGTTATTTTCTTTTTAAAGTTAGTTATTTGTAGTTTAACAGTTATTTGTATTTTCAAAAAACATTTCAATCCCTTTACCAAAAATATTGTATAATACTAAATATAGATAGTAGCTAAATTACAACTGATTACTAAATTACAACTTAATAACAAATCAGTTATATAATAAAATTTCGAAATTTAACTTGACTAACTAAAATGCAAACATTTTCATTTGCATTATTTAAAAAAAAAATGACATATGATTAATCTCAACTAATTTAAATACATTAAATGATGTGTTTAGAGGCTAATTTTTTATCTGACAGAAAAGAAGTCTTTAGAGCTAGAAATCTTAGCTAAGCATCCTATATAATATGCCGAAAATTTTTTAACACCAGTATTTAAAGATGTGCAAAATTAAAGTGTTTCCGGGAGGAAAAAGCATCAGCAAATTATAGAAAACATGCAAATTAGAATGATACAGAAAGCACATTAGTATACAGCAGAAACTGATTACAAATGACACATCATTTAGTGTATAGTGTATTAGACTAAAATACTAAAAACTAAGTATAGGAAAAAAGAAGGGAGGAAATACATATCAAGCAAATAATCACATTGCATACATAATAGGAAAATTTAGGAAAAAGAGTATAGAAATGATAAAAGAGTGGGTAGAGTACCCTCATCCAAGCTTGTACGAGAAGTATGGTGACCAGTTGTTAAAGATCCCTTCTTCATTCGTGAAGAGGGTAAGTCTGGAGGTGCTGGTTCAGGCGGCGGCGGATAGGCCCCATACCCTATATAGTAGCACAATACAAATTGGAGGAAGAGCAATATATGTTTTCCTGAATTACTATTTAAAATTGCAAAAGAAATATATTCCACACAATCTGAAATAGTCATTATTTCTCACAGGTGGATTCTTTAAATTTCGAGATTAAACGTATAAAAAACACTAAATAACGTATGAAAACACATGAAGACTTAATTGTTATGCTATACTTGAAAGTAATTAATCTTTAAAGAAATAACATTAAAGATATCACAAGATTCAGTGAAGAAAACTGGCAATAAACTATTACAATAGCTAAATTACATAAATTAAAATCGAAGAAAAAAAAAGTTATTTTATTAAGAATGTTTTCTGGTAACTGAAATTGTTTTTTTAATTTTGCATTGTGAATAATTAATGAAATTATCCTAATATTACTCAATTGTATAGGTAGAATAATATAAATGTTCGATGTTTAAGAATGTAGAAATACTAAGAATGAGTCTTTTTGAAACTGATTTAATCTAAATTTCTTTTTAGTAGAATTTTCAAAAAGAAGCTTTTTCCTGGTGTAAGAACTTGAAAAAGTAATTAGCAGTAATATAAAAAGAGAAAATAGCGGCAAATAGAGAAAAACTACATACATAATGTCACATCATTAAAACAATGTTATAATTTTTAATTCAAGCGAATCATTTCCTTTCTTAAATAATTGGTATTAGCCAACTCAGTAATTACAGAAAATTTTTCTATTTGTGATGAATAGTAAAGTAACTGACTAAGTTAGAAAAAATAATGAAATCTTAAAAGGTAGTTCAAACATTTAAATCTGAAAAGTAGAAAAAGAACTATATTTCACTAACTTAATCAACTAGAAAATTAAACTTAATTATCAGTAAACCTATAAAATTAAACCTACCATGAGAATACCTTTTATCTATCAACAGAAATCTGCTAAAGAGAGCAAATCTTGGTAGAAGACAAAAAAGTTTAGAAAAGTAATTTAAAAATACAAAATAACTATTTCGTTTACTAGTTAAAAGTCGTTTACATATACTTTCAGGTTTTTTTTATTTCGTTATTCCACTTCCCAACTCTAAATTGAAATTATGAATTGAACTTAAAATTGTTTGAAAGAAATCTCTTGAAAGTTTACTCAAGATCAATTAAAAACAATTAAATACAAAGGTAATGAATAATTAGATTGTTATTGTTTGCATGTTTTCAAATCGTGATTCTTCCACAAAATAGTATAACATTAGTATTGTTTTCCTAATGATACTGAACTGTAAAAAATAACTTTCCCCTTATGTCTACATTTACACATCAATTTTGTTATTTTAATCTCTTGTTGAAACATTAGTAGCATTATATTCTTCTTCTTTTGAGGCACTACAGCCTGTTACAGCAGCATCTGTGCAGGCCATCCGAAGTAGTTTCTGCCATCTGGATCTATTCGCAGCAAGGCTCTTTCAGTTTCCCCCATTTACTATATGAAGGTCCTTCAAGTGAAGCCACTTAATTGGTGGTCTTCCCATTTTATTATTATTTTTTTTATAGGAGTAAGTCAGTTTTTTTTTTTACTGGGATTGAAATTTGAGTTATCAGTTTGGAAACTAATTCCGAGAGATATTGATATTGCTAAAACCTATTATCTTGTACAGTATTAATAGAAGGAATAATTTTTACTAATTTTTAATTCTTACTTGAATTTAAAAATTATTTTTTGATTGAATTACATAATAATTCCTATTCCTTGAAGAACTGTGGTATTATTTTAAAAAGTAATAGTTCATTCAATTAGGCCTGATTTTAAAAAAAAAATGGGTTTAAAATTATCCAGTTAGTAACAAAAGAGGCTATTTAAATCATTTTGGAACTTAAAAGTTACATCCATTAATGAGTACTTGTAATAGAAACTAAACTTGTAACATTTTCTAATAATATTTATATAAACTTCACTCTTTTCACTAGCTTATCGAAAAAGGATTTCAAGGACAAGGTACTGTTAAAAATAAATTGTTTTCATAGATAAATGCTTTCAATTATTTAACTTTTTTTTTTAAATTTTATATTCATACATAGTATCTTTAAAAATATATATCAATATCAGTAAAGTAAAATGTATATAAGCATATAAATAAATAAGAGTCCAGTACTACACAACAAGCTTTTCTAAGAGAAATCAATTCAATTTAGTATTCGTAGTAAATTAACACAGTTGTATTGAAAAAGATATCAAATTGGTAGAAGTTCTTAAATTGTGTCAACTGTTCTAGAAAAAGTTTAAATAGAATCATGAAATGAGTAAATAAGGAATATTTCAAAAACACATGTTTAATGAATTGGTAATTAACTTTAGTTATAGTAGGATTTCTCCATTAATTTAGATAGTCTCATGAATTGCGAAAGAAGTAGTAAATGCAGTCTTTTAGTAGGGATAATTTTGATTTGAAAAAAATATTATCTGGTAAAATTAGACATAGGTAAAACATCAAAGAAATAGGATTATAGGACAATTTCTTTTACCTAACATATTGTTAATGAAAATAAAAAGCAGGACAGAAAAATATAAACGCTGGTTAGCTCATGAATGAAGAAACTTTCAACAACTAAATTTAAATTAATCTAAGTAGCTTCCATGAAAACACTGTTTTGTATCAACATTTATAATTTTTCGATATAACTTAATTCAGTGAATAGACTTAAATGATAAAGTATAAAATGCTTTGTTGCAATGTGTTTTATTTATTTTTGGATCAAAACAAGCAAATGTTAGTGATAGAAAGGAAACAAAAATAACAAATGGATAAAATTTAAGAAAATAAAGTTGCATAAAGAAAATTTTCTTTCTATCCCCTTGCATAATTTAGACATCATAGTATAGTTATTATTTTTTTTTTTTCATTATAAGTTTAGAGCAATTTTCTTTTATTATTACTTTTTGAGCAAATTTAGAATGATTTTATAAAACAGTACCTGTTTTGAAGGAAGTTAAAAGCAAACATTTAATCCAATTTTGCTATAAGTTATTTAATGCTTAATAGAATGGAATGAATCATATTTAGATTACCTTAAGAGCTTATCTTGTAAAAAACTATGTTTTTAAGAAGTTTCGAGCAACAATCATATCACTGTGATTAATACTGACACTGATTTCCCAAGCCAGAATAGTATTAAAAATCAGGAACTTGAAAAAAAGTTAATAGGGTTTGAAAAATTGTTTAACACTCAATAACAAATTCAGACAATACTGACAAAATTTACGAACCTACTTTTAAATACACTTTTTTAACATCTTAAATGCTTAAAGTTGTTCATTTACACTAGGGGTGCACAACATGCAGCTCACATGCGGCTTGCTTACTGTTGATGTCGAGTTAGCAGACGCTTCTGAACACAATGAAATATTTGTTAAAAAAAATAACAAAATTTCAAAAAATTTTAGTCATCACTTTTTAATGCGCTCAATTTGTACTGATTCTATGGTAAATCCATATTGTTTCTCGATAATTTTTTCATTGGTTATTGCTATGAAATTCCACCTGGTTTTTAAAAGATCCAATATTTTTAATACACTATTACAATATGCGATTTTCGAGTTTGAGTAATTATTGCAGATTTCATCATAAATCCAAGTGTCGTTTCGATCTTTTTTTTTTTTGGCATTTATAATTACTAAATTCCATGAGGTTTTTATACACCTAATATATCACTTTTGGACGTTCTTTTACGTACCCATTTCATCATAAATCTAAATTATATTTTTTAAAGGCAGTTATCACTATGCTTTACTTTGTGATTTAGGAAATCAAGAATTTTTTTGAGCTATTATTACAAAACACAAATTTGAAATCGCTCATTCAGATAATTACATTTTGACATGCTCTGTTTTTCTAATTTCATCATAAATCCAATTGACATTTAGATCATTTTTGGCATTTATAACTACTAATTTCCATGTGGCTTACAAATTCCTGATACATTTAATCCGATATTACGACTTGTGACTCATAAATCACGCAATTTAATTGATAACTTTTTTGTCGTATTTAATTTGTGCTGATTGCATTGTAAATCCAAGTTTTTTTTTGGCAGTTTCTGAGTTTCTCTCAAAGTTTTAAAAATTCTAATTTTTATTACAACATGCAAATTTTAAATCACGTATTTTAATAATTACTTATTTGTGCGCTTTACTTGTGCTAATTTCATCGTAAATTTAATAAAATATTTTTTTGCTGCATTTATTGCGATACTTTTCTTCATGATTTTTTACGATCCTATTACTTTAACTACGATGTTAATACAACAGGCGAATTTCTAATCGCTAATTTAAACAATCACTATTTGATACATTTTATTCGTGCATATTTCACTGTAAATGTAAGCAATTTTTTTGTCATTTTGGTAGTTGGCACTGCGCATTTGCAAGTGGTATTCAGAATCTTGATATTTTAATACAATGTTAATGCACCATGAAAAATTCGAAAACTTGAGGAAAATGAGAGCTTTTAGACAGCTTACTGTTAATAATTTATTTTGCTTTAAATTTTTTTAGCTTGGGTAATTTTTTTAGGAAAAAAACTAAAAAGGATACACTTTCTATTTAAAATCTCTATTAGCTCAAGAAATATAAAAATAATATCTGAAAAATACCAAATAAATATTGAATTTTATTTTGTACTATAATGGATTTGTTTTAATTTTTGGTTTTTGTTTAAACATTATAAATTTTCCTTGATAAATTTTTTTACTTATTGTGAAAAAAGGAATTTTTTTTTTTTTTAAAGTATCAGTTCTTTTTTTTTTTAATAAGTTCAAATAATTAAAAGTATTTAATTTTCTGCAAACATGTCATTAAGTTTACAGTGTAAAAACAAACATGTCTAAATATGTGTGTGTGCACCCCTTTGTTAGGCTACCTGTTGTGCAAATGGCCCTTCACTCAAAGAGGTTGTGCACCCCTAATTTACACTAATATGTTCCACTAGTGATAATAATGACAATGTTATCAATTTGGTGAAACTAAACCTTCTTAATTTTTAAATAATATAACTTCAGTGCTCTAAAATGGTTAATACTTAAAATATATTTTATAAGTAAAAAATGAATTTTACATTCAGTTTTTAATTCAAGCAAAACAACCAATAATAGACTTATGCCAAAACTACAGACACACACTTTTCGAAAATAGAATTTAAAAAAATTAAGATGAAAATAAAAATAATGAAATAGAAAGATTAAGTAAGTATAAATGCAAAAAACCAACACTTAACTAATGAACTGAAAAAAGAAAAAAAAAAGAAATGATGAACAGAAAATTCATGCAATATAAAAAATAAAAGAAAACTCAAAACTGAAAATATAAGTCTGAAATTTGAATCCATGCAAATGCAAGCAATGCAACAAAAAACTGTTTTCAAGTAAAATACACAGAAATAAAGAAACATGTAGCAGTAATCACCACTAAGCCCAGAAGATATTGTATCATCATCATCTGTTATGCTGTCAGAGGCATCCAAATCATCAGGAATTCTTGGGCCTTGACCAGAATTTGGATGGCTTAGACTAGGAGCAGATGGTGTTGAAGGCATACCCATGCCACATGATTTCAAACTGTTAGATTTTTTCAATTCATATGGAGGAAAGGGTAAAGCACGTTCAGGAGCAGGGGGCCTTCGCCGACCAGTAGCATACAAAGATGATGGTAAAGGCATTGGGTGTGGAGGAAGGCGAGGAGAATAATGGACCTGGCTATGGTATGAAGGAGGAGGAGATGCATTGCCAGTAAATGTACCAAGAGTTGGAGGTGGATAAGCAAGATCAATGCCTGAATTAGGATCTCTATCATGACGAGATGGGGGTAAAGGTGGAGGAGGACCATTGTTGTCCCGAGATTTCATTGAAACAGAACGATCCAAAGATTCTGTACTTGGGAAAGACTGATGATATATGTCTGTAAGAAAAACACAAGTAAAAAAAGAATAGGAGAGAATGATAGTAACTGTTTCCATGCAAAGAAAGTTTGGGCAAAGTATCTTAAACACAAAAAAGAATTTTAATGTTTAAATATTAGGTGAAACAGAAATAGGAGCTTGAATGAACTTAAGGGTTCCGAAGACAGAAAATAGAAAATTCAAGTATCATTAAAAACATCCATAAATTACACACATAATGAAACAAACATATAAAAAATGCCAGATTTATACATACATAATGCTTTAAACCATGCATATCTGATAAAAACAACAAGAAAATTTTATTTAAAATTTACAAAATCTGCCAGCAAAATTTTAATAAGAGTTTTGCTTACAAAAAAATATAACATTAATAAAGTATAAAATTACAAGAGAAAAATTGCCACTGACTTTTTAAAAAAAACTTTTTTAAGTTCAAATAAAATGTAAATGATTAACAACCATAACATAAAAACTAAAATTAAGTCTTAATTAGACAGCATTTCATGTTTACAATACCTGCATGTAAACTTCTCCTGTTTTTAATTTGGCTAGGTTTTACTAAGTGTTCTCCATTTTCTTGATTAAAAACACTGGCATAAAGGTCACTGTCATCACTAGGACTCAAAGGCGGGCCATCAATAAAACCAGTTGGTGACACTGAACCATCATCTGGTCCATGGACAGCTTCTACTGGCAACTGTTCATACAGACCTTCTGAATCTCCACTGAAAAATATATGCAGTATAAAAATGAAGTTTATAATATGGTATTAGAAACAGGGTGCATATGGCGTTTAAGAATATAAGTAAAAATTCTAAAAGTAACTTTCTAAAAGTTTGCCTTTATGTTATTTGAATGCTTTTGAGCATAACTACTTATAAATTAAGAAGAAGCAAATGGAATCAGAAATCAAGAAAACATTAAAAAATAAAATCAGAAAATCTTTTTTTTCCCATTGTTTCTTTTTTAAATCATAATTTTGCAGTTAGAACTGAAAACCATAGTTACACTAATATATTTTTCAAAATAAATGCTAAACTATCATAAAACACTGGTATAAAAAATTTATGAAGTGAAAAAATGAAATGAATATAAATAAATGTAAATTAGTCGTCCTTAAAAATAAAGATGTATTAAAACTGAATTGGAAGAAAACATGAGAGAAATATCGTTTTTAATTTAACTGTTTCCAATTAGCATAGTTATTTTAAACACTTTTTCTCATGCCTGTTATGTTTTTTTCCCTTAGGAAGTATTAATGATTGTTTTGCTGCGTTTTTCTTGAAGCTTTAAAAAGTTACAAAACAAAACACAATGAAATCTTGATTTTTTTAAAATTATCTTTTTTGCATCATTCAAAAAGAAAGCTTTTATTTCTTCATTAACACTTTCACATTTGCACCTCCTTTTCATAAATCAATATACATAACTCATGATGTCTTTATTGCATTTAGTGTAAATTTCAGTTATTTTCCATCAATAAAGAAATTAATCTTTTAAAACATTCGAATATTTAGAAAACATTTTCAAACCTTATCGAGATATTTGTAGAGTCTGGACTAGGGATTTTTAAAAGGCTTGTTAGTATTGTTTTTTGTTTAGACATAATAAATAAAAATTTACAAGATTAATTGAATGAGTAAATAAATATTTTCACTGCAAATCCACCTCTATTTTTTTTCTCTTTTTTTGTTTGCTTTCACTCCAGAATACAAGAAGCAGCGACGTCTGAAATACAAAAATACGAGCTATCCCGCCGACAGATAAAAAATAGGGAAAATCTTATTTTCTATGTGTGAAATAGGAGAAAATAGCTAATATAAGTAAAAATGCGGAAGGGTTAGCAGCTAAGACGTAGTTTGAATTTTCTGTTTTTCTTTGAAGATTGTAAATAAATATAATTATTTTACTTCAATGACTGAATTTTCACTAAAAAGCAGGAGAAAAAAAAGAAGAAAAAAAAACGAAATGAAACTCTTAGAGAACCCGAGTTTTTGATAAAAGGCTGAAATTCGAGAGACAAAAGCGAAAAAAAATCTCATCCCTGTATGAAGGTCAACCAGTTTTATCCCAAGGAAATGATTTTTAGAGAAATTTTAGAGGGAGGAATGAGGACTTCAATAATTTCGCTCCGCGGAAAATTAAATTCCTCATAAAATATTTTAACTTGTGCAAAAAAGAATTTCAGCGGAAATTAGCGGAAAAAATGGGGAGAAAAAAAAAAGCGGAAATCCGCGGAAGAATCTCATCCCTGTAAACTAGATTGATAACTCTGCAAAGAAAGAATTGAGTGTATTTGGAAAATTTTTTTACGAGTTTAAAATAGTATTTTCAAAAATAAATTATAGAGTTCAAAAACACTTATCGTTCGAAATTTATAGCTGGTTCCCAAATCCCTGAAAACTTTAAACTTTATTCATAAGAAAGAAAAATATCATGACCTTAATACCTCAAAAATTATAAGATAATCCAATATATATATATATATATATATATATATATACAAATATATACATANACGTATATATATATTTATATATATATATATATACACACAGGGTTCCCACTCTCAGAAAAAAAATTCCCTGACTTTTAAAGATATATCATTTAAATTTCAATGAAAATTGAGACTATATTTTCATTAGGAAACTTTGATTCTTTAATTTGTAACGCGAAGTATAAGATTTTCTGCGTAAAAAAAATATCATTAAATAAAGATTTAACCCTTCAGTTTGACTAAAATATGAAATTTGTACAATTGACTAAAATATGAAATTTGTACAGCAAATAATTATAAAATAGATGATAGAATTATTTAACTTGAATCTCAATAACTGATTACTGTAACTGACAATTTTAAGACTGTTTATTTTCCAGGTATGATATAGAAATATTCCAGGTTTTTGAAAGAAAAAAAAAGAAAAAAAAGCAACTTTCCCTGACTTTCCCAAATTTTTGGAGTTAAAATAAAATTTCCTGACAATTCCAGGTTTTCTTTGTTCTCCTGACTCATGGGACAATCTTTTTGAAAGAATACATTGGCTTCTAGCCACGTTGATAGTTGTCATACGGTTGCATAAATTAGCAGCTATTCCTCTTCGCAATATGAGAAATCTATAAGTATTATTGCATATATTCTTAAGAAGTTAATTTAAGCAACTCTTTCTAACACTAAGAAAAAACAATTACTTTATAAACAAATTAAAATTCAATACATAAATTTTAAGATAGTCAACATATTAGGTTTTTGTAAAAAGATTAAAAGTTTGCAAACAATGAGAATATGTGTATAAAACCTTAGGAATAACAAAGAAACAAAAACAAAATTTTGCCCCTGCTTTTATTATTTCATTATTTTATTATTGGATATTTTATTCAGATAAGTTTTTCTTTTATGCAAAAATGCTAAAAAATTTGTTGCTTTAAAATTAAATTGTACAATATTTTTTATTCTCATATATTATTTCATTATATACAATCTTAGTCATGAATGTTTAAAATAAATGTTAATATAAATTGATTTACATATATTATAGATTAATAAACCACTGCTTACATGATGTGCCAGACTATCTATTTCATTATATACAATCTTAGCCATGAACGTTTAAAATAAATGTTAATATAAATTTATTTACACATATTATAAATCAATAAACCACTGCTTACATGATGTGCTAGACTCTATTACATAGGGATATAGTTAAGGTTTCCTAGGAATTGAGCAGTTTTTTGCAATGTAATAAAAAGAAAATAGTTCTAAAAGCTGAAAATAGTTATTTGATAAAATAATATGTAAAATACAAAAAAAAAAAATCTATAGATTTAGCATATTGCACCGAAACTGATAATTTGGAGCAAGAGAAACTATGTTTCAATGTGGCAAACTGATAATTACTAATTTGTGTGAAATCTACTGATTCTTCATCAGTTACCTTCAATGAAAATAGTATCACTAGTGTATAATGAAAGCCCAAATTGCTCGCCTGGCTTTTTTTATGTTTTCAAAAACATTTTAAGAACATTTACGACTATACTTTTTATGAATGTGGCATTTTTTTCCCTTCATAAAACGCTTTATGAAAAAGTTGTAAAAAAAAGTTTTTAATGAAAGATATTTGACAAGTATTACATTTTGTAAAAAATAGAACATTATTAAAAGGTTATTATATTAATATTATGGATTTTAAAATATATATGCTTAGAAATTTGAAACATCTCCAAAAAAAAGAAGAAAAAAAAGGCTCCAGTAGTTGATTGCTGAAGATTTTAATTTACTTCTCTCTACTGCCAATTCATTACTATTTCTCACTAATTCAGCCGTTTGTGTAATTCTTAGGTATTTTCTTCTTTAAGCATTAATGATTACTGATTTGGGGTTCACATTTACATTTTGTACATTTTAAATATTTCATTAATAGAGTAAAAAATACATCTTACCCATCCTCCAAAGATCCACTGCGTAAATGATAGGATTCTTGCCTGGAAGGCACAGGTGGCGGTACAGGAGTACGGCTACCAATAGAGTAATCAGAATCTTCTAAACTAAATGCTTTTTCAATCTGAGGCTTTCTTTCCCAAACTTCTTTAAAAAAAGGCGTATAAAATGCAGCTGGAAAATACAATAATAAACTAATTATATAGTAAGATGCCAACTAAAGTAGTCAGTTTTTATTTATACAATTATGCCAATTTATACAATTACGAAAAAAAACAAAAAATGAAATTTTGGCAAGTATACAATACACATTTAGATAAAAAGACAAAATCATAGGTTAAAAAATTGCAAAATTTAACTTATTCTCTTCATAAAATTCAAGGTGTGATCAGAGTTACCAATTATTCTAATCTAATAATTGTTTTGCGAATAAAATATGAAATTCTGGCAAAAAAAGTTATTTCTTTATTTCACAAAGTTAACTAAAATCTTGTCATGTGTGAAACTATTTCGGGAAGACAATTTACCCCCCCCCCCATTTTTAATTAAACCTTAAAAAAGTTTTATTGTGGTAACATAATTAATAAATGCTTTTTTTTGCATAAATGCAAAATATTTTTACTGGCCTTACCATTCATATGGCAGGTAATAATACTCATATAAAATATCCTCAGTGGTAGACAGATCAGGGGTTAGAGTCCCCTTGCCGTCATGTTAACCATGAGAGGTTTTCCTCTTCATATAATGAAATGCAGATTAGTTCCTTCAAAAAGATCTCTATGAAGGCCAATTTTTTTCTAATGCGTGATACAGAAGTTCCCTTGTCTTCTGGGTCGGGTTTAAAATTACAAGGTCACGGTGTTGAATATTTATAGTAGTAAACTCAGGATTGGGTTGGCTGTTCAACAGCAGTTATAAAATAAATGCTGCATCATAAAAATAATCAATAAAAATGAAAGAAAATGTTTTAAAAAAGGCAAAATCACAAGGAAAGCACCTAAAAATGGTTTTAAAAAATAAATCTGTGGATTGTGTTTATTGTTTTGATTCTGTTATCGAAAGAATAAAAAATAATAATTATTGTATTGGTACCTTTTTTAAAAGATGTAAATAATCCCAGAATAAGGATTTCACTTATTATTAGATATTTTTATACCTATTGCAAGTTACTGAAACATTCAATTGTAGCATACATAGAATAGCAATGAAGAAATTAAAAATGAAATGCACAATTAATGCTTCAAATAAAAACAAAACACATAGAATGAAAAAGAATAGAAAATATGGAATTCTCAGTTTTTAAAAAACTGTAAAAGAATTTTATTTAAAAAAAAAATAGATCATTCGGCAATAACATTTTTCTAAGTATAATCATTACATGCATAATATTTTCTTGCACTACGCATATGTAACCATGATGAAACTAAAAACTCTAGATAAGATATTAAGCATTCACTAAACAGTAAAAAAAGTAACAAGAAAAAAGTTTAAACTTAAAAACATAAGCAAACATCAGTAGTTCAAATAAAAAAAATTCTTGACTGTCTGCATGGCAAATTTCAACATCTATGATAAGTTCAATAAACCCCCTATGGCAGAATTTTTTTGAGCTATCTACGACTAAACTCTTTAGCACTAATATCTTTCTGCAAGATACTTCTAATGCTAACAAACATACATGTTACTAATTTAAAATAACAAACACCCTGTGTTTACAATATATATATTTATATATGCATAATTTTCTTAATTGAACATGCAATAATTTTTTATTCTAATATTATGGGTAGGACTGGGCGACATTAGAAATTATATATCGTGATGCATCGTCAGTTTTGCATCGCGATATAGCGATGTATCGCGATATAGTATTTTTGAATTTCATTTNATCGATTTATAGCCCAGTCCTAATTATGGGTGATATTCTCACTTTTTGTTGGGGGGAAAACACACAGATTATTTACTTCTTTGCATTTTATAAATAATCATCACAATAAAAAAATATTAAATATCATGAAATCTGCAGTAGTAATTGCAGCAAAAAAAAAAAAGATCTATGACGAAATCACGTAAATTGGACGCCTTAAGAGCGTGTTTTATTTCGAGATTAGGTTGTTGTAATAAATAATATCGTATAAAAAATATTGGATTTAAAACTATGGAGAAATCAATAGCAATAAATTCCAAAAATTTGATAGAATTATTGCCTTACATATAAATACTCAAATGCACGATTCAAATGTTCCATATTGTTTGAAATACATTGGATTGTTTAAAAACCGCATGAAAATCAATATCAATAACTGCCGAAAATATAATCGAAACATTACATCGATTTACGATACTATAGGTGCAAATTGAGGACGTAAAAAAGTGAATATCTAAATACAGGATTCAAATATTAAGTGTAAATTTCTGTAAAAAATAAAAAATAAAATTTTTTTTTAAAAGAAAAATCTTTTTGTCAGAGCTCTGTTAAGTTCTGTGACAATGTCGCTGCTATTCTGCCACTGGGAATTAACCATTTATTGAATGAACTATAATAAATTTCGCAGTTTGGAATATTATTGAGGAAAATTACTTTTCTGTTGGCTTGTGGAGCTGGAAGTCATGAAATGAGCTTGCAACTTATCAGCTACAGCATTCCCTTCAGTTATTAATTGATGAGAAAGATCACTAGAAAAGAAGGCATTTGCACTTCCTGTTTCAGTTACAGCTAAAATTTGAATCGGAATGTTTGGGATATTCATCGAAAATGCACTGAAATGAAAAAATATTTTCATGTAGAAAAATAAGCAGTAAAATTTTTCTTCACTCAGTATTTTTTTTAAAGCTTCAATTTAAAATTTTAATAATAACTATACAAATGATTCACCTAAGTGTAGCTAAGGATGCTTTTCGTTTAGTTGAAAATACTAAGATAAAGCCATGGACAAGCTCATCTCGATAGGAATTGGCACCATGGTAAGATGTGACACGGACTTCTACACTTCTTTTGGACTCACCAAGATAGGTTTCTAAGGTTACAGTATGGGGTGTAGTTACAAAACAGCACTGATGACTTAACAATGGACCTAAAACATGTTCAACTGAATAGGGATCTCCACAGAGCATACACATAATGATCCTAAAAAATATAAAAATAACAATTCCATACAATATAATTTAGTGAAACAAAAATCCATCAATTATGCAACAATTAGTATCTATGCAATAAAAATATTATAAAGCAATATATTTTAGAATGACAATTGGGAGAAGATTTAATCTAAAATAAAAACACACAAATATCTAACTTTAGACTCTGTATTGCAACTAGGTCCAAATGCTAAAATTTTGAGTTTCGTTAAAAAATTAAATCAATTTCAGATTTTTGAATGACCAGCTATGCAAAGGTCTACTAAAAGTATTTATGTCTTAATAATTGGTATGCACGTAGTAAAACATAAAATAACGATCAGGACTGCGATTTACTCATTTCATATAAAGTATTGACACTTGTAAATCGATGTGTTTTTCTCAAAATTCTAAATCTGCAGTTTTGAACCCCCCCCCCCAAACAAACAAAATTGAGAGAATTTTTTTTCGCAAACATAATGAACTTAAGTCTAACAGTTTTGCATTAAGAACATGTAATGAAAATTTCAAGAAAATCAAAAATATCAAGCACCTAAACCAGTCTGATCTGCCAGACTTTTACAAAAAAACTGGCTCTTTAATCTCAAAACGAAAACACAGTGATAACGCTCCTGAAGAGGCTGTTCACCTTGGAGCAGGGTTTCCGCTACGGTAGCTTTTTTCGCAAAATGCGAAAAGACCCCTCAAAAACGCTAAAATTCAACAAAGCATTTTCGCATTTTTGCTAAAGGATTTTACTAAATTCCATTTTAAAAAAAAGCTTCCGCGAAAAACCATGACGCTAACATCCATGAAAAAAACTTGATCAAACAAGAAGGATTGATCAGACAAGATTTTATATACCAATGATGTGTCTGAACAGTACCCATTAATAACTTCTGTTATAGAGTATTGTGCAACAATACCAATGCACACTGTTGACTGTGAAAGGGGCTTTAGCTGCCTTAATTTGATTAAAACTAATATTCGAAACAGGTTGTTAATCTACCATGTAAACAATTTGTTAATGATTAATATTGAGGGCCCTGAAAGTGCATTTAACTTTCAAGAAGCATTTGTAAAATGGGCAAACATGAAAGAAAGGAAGATTGTTAATTATAAACCAAAATGTTTTGATAAATAATAAATGTGTTTTTTTAGTTATAGGTATTCTTTTTGATATTCTTGTACATTAAGCTATTCTTTGTCAGATAACTTACAGTACTTGTTTGATATAAAGTAATTTTATAAGCCTAATGGCATTTTAGCATTTTGCTAAAACTTTTTTTCAGATTTTAGCTTTTTTGCTAATGAATTTTTAGACTCAGCTTAAACCCTGCCTTGGAGACCCGCTGCGGATATGGGTACGGACCGGCATGAAAATCACACTCTCTCTCTTGGATTTGCAAGGGCCGGCAGAGGCGCACCGGACACCGCAAGAGCCACGGTGCTTTTACGAGAACAGCGTCCCTATCTCAGGGAGAGCCGATTCCAGGGAAACGAACTAAAAATTTATTTAGTTCCCTCAATTCAGTATTAAATAAATTTTTTACACGATTACAGCTTTTGTTGATTGGAATCTTACTGTTTTTTAATTCAGCTGATAATAACGAATCAATAATTGTGAAACTTACGAAATTCTACCCTTAAAGATTTGTTACTGTTTTTACTGAAAACCATAGAAAAAGAAGCGTATGACCTCTAGTTCATCACCGTAAAAATTTGATAATGTAAAATTGCTAATTGAGCTTTTTTTTCATAGAACCACAGAATTCCTAAAACTTTTGAAGTAATGAATAATGTAAATATTTAAAAATTGTGAGTTGTTTATTTTGACGATTCCCTAAGAATATTAGCAATTCCAAAAGTCGTATTGCAGCACATTGATCATAATTTGGCTTTTAAGATCATGGGCCTGCATTGTTATCAAAAATATTAGCATTAATTCAATTGCTTGGGTGAAGTGTTATTTCTTTTGAAGAAAAATGTCTGAAAATGAGTCAAGCTTTGTTTGAAACCATAGAAATCATTTCAGCAGCAAAATACTTGAGCGATAAAAAATAAAAATTCTAAAAAGACCAATTGAAATAGAGAGATAATGTAAAATTATTTATAATGCAATTAAGGAAGTTTTATGAAACAGTTAACATTTTAACAGAGTTACAAATAAATTGATAGAACATATAAACATAATACACGTTCTTAAAGAGTTAAAAATGTGCAAGTAATCAAAGCTTTTATTTAATTACAAAAAGCTACAATTGCTGGAATTTGAAAATAATACAAGGACAAATACCTAATGTCAGAAGTTATGGATTGCTCAGGTAAAGTATGGTATATCTGAAGTAGGCCAGCTCTTCTTTGGATACTTTCAATCAATGACTGTAAGGCTTGAACTAGACTTGTAACATCAAAACGTTGTTCAGGAGAATCATCAGCACAACTTACATCCAAAAAAGGACACTGAAGGCTAAAATAGAAAATTGATGAAATTTTAAAATATATAACTTTCAAACGATTTGATCAATTGCAATAAAATTGATATTTTTTGAGCTGAAAGAGCACAGAACACTCAAAAATTTCATAGAAGTATTAAGTAATGGGTCAGGATGAAGTTTTTTGAAATGCACAATTGCACTTAGTTCTTATTGCACCTTCAGTCCTAACTCACTTTCAGATGATTCTTGCAGATAAACCAAACATTTTGGAAAAATTGTATCATCTGCAAATATTTTAGAATATATCATGTGAAAATGAAGGGCATTAGCTTCAGAATTAACTTCAAAAAAGGTTTTTAAAGGGTCCCAATGTAAGACAATGTTCTGTTGTTAGAAATTTCCAGTGTCCCACTGATATGATTTAAATTCAAAGGTTGAAGGTGTGAAATTTTTTTCTTAACTTAGCCCTTACTGATTTTTAATGTGTCACCTTTTCTGCATCGTTTTTCGTTTTTTAAGCTTTCCAACTGAAATTATCCTTGTACTTTTGTGTGATGCATGATGAAAATCCTTCATTAAATTTATTGAAAATTCTTTTTAATTATGAAATTCTTTTTCTTCTGGTACTGTCCAGTGCCATAAATCAATGTCGTGAACTGACAAAAATATGACTCTAATCAAATTTTGTTTTCAAATGAATTTGTATTTCTTGTAATTTTATCTTTTAATTGCCCTTTTCTACTCTCACTTTTGTAAATCGAAGGTTTTTCAAGAGTTTATTGATGTTCTTCTGATAGCTTTTCAAAGTACAATGATTATTTCCAAATTTTTCTTTATTTTGTTGATACATTTTTACAGCTTTTTTCATTGAGTTTTTGGGAATATCACTTAAATGCTGTTTTTTAGTAGTAGTATCTTGCCACTCATGGAAAGATAGGCTACAAAAAGTGATATTTAAAAATTGAAATTCAAACGTCATAATAACATCATATTGAAAATAGAAAAACCACGTTAAAGAAGCCGAAAAAATGATAACTAACTGGTGATAAACTATCAACTAATGACGTAAAATAATGATGGAATCGTCACAAATCTAACGTTTTGAAAAAGGGATGATGCAAAATTGGAATACTCATCTCATAACAACGTATTAAATATATAGGAATCAATTTGAAAAACTATAATGAAGCAGCCACAAAAAGATTTTTAAAAAAACATGTGGACTTTTAAAAATGAATAAAAAATATTTATCGATAAAACTAAATGTTCTTTATCAATTAAGAAATTTTCAGAGAAATAATTTCCATTTTTTACAAAAATGGGCCCTAAAAATAAAACCTTGATCGACCCTAGAATATTAGAGTATAGTGTTAGAATTTCAAAGTGGAACAGCAATCCCCATGGTTCCCAAAAGTTCTTAAAAACGAGTTTAATTGAATTCATTTATCTAACTTTGACAATAGCGGATAAAGAAAATAATAAAAATAAAAAACATTAATAATTTATAAAAGATAATAAAATACTATTTATCTCAATAAATTTCTTAATAAAAAATAAGAATAAACAATCTGAAGTATATCCACCCTTCTACCAGTTATGGATTCTAGCAACCTTAACCCTTTTCCTATTTAAAGTTTTCTAAATTGCAAAACCACAGCATGCTATGGTTCTGTGAAATTTGGCTCAATGCCAAATGGGGTAAAAAAGAAACTCTTGCATAGAAAATGTGTTTTACAGTAAACACGAAGGTCGCAAGTTTGGCGCTGGCCAAATCAAGCTCCCTGGCTTTTCCAGATTTTGGCTCATGCATAAAATTATCCCACATTTTCTTGATTTTTTTTAGCCAATTTCCAAATTCCCTAACTTTTCCCTGTATTCCAGGTAGCGTAGCAACTCTGAATGTGGTTTTCCAGTTAAGTAATAAATAGTTCATTTCAATTTATTCTTCCTTTCTATCTTTTTCTAGCTACTATAAAAATATACTCTTGTTTACATTTTCATATTTAAATTTAAAAGCTTAAATTATTTATTACAAAAGTAAAAAAAAATAAATTCAGTTAATTCAGCAAAAAATTTTGCTTATAATATTTTTTAAAACAATCCATATATTTTAATAAAAAAATATATATTACTTTTTGTTTTAAAAATTTTGTTCAAAATATATAATTTATAAATTGAATAAAACATATTAAATAGTTATCAACCATTTCAGAAAAGAAAATTAGAGATAAAATCAGGGGTCTGTCTAGATTTTTCTGAAAGGTACCTATTTTGTAAAAATTTAGACATAATTTGTGAAAAATTAAAAATTATGTTAAAAAATCAACACAAAAACATGGTAAAAATATAGATTTATCGTTTCTTAAGGGATACAAAAATAAAATTTTAAGAAAAAGTATTTTGAGAAACTACCGTTTTTCCTAAAGTTAAATTTGTGAAGGTACCGCTAAACGGTAGTAAATTCGGCCAGGACAGATCCCTGAAAATGCAATCGTCTCAGATGGAATTTAAACAAAGGAAGAACCACTGGTAGAAGGCAGGCAGCCTAATCGTTACACCACTAACACATTTGTTAGTTTAAAAGTAAGTAAACAAAAATTTTAATGGAGCATATTTTACCCTAAGGCAGATTAGGAGACTAATTAAACCATATCCAAGGTTTTTAAACACTCTGTTTAATTCAAACTTGGCTTTGTTTAAACAGGAATTTTTGAGACGTGTACTTCCCTTGTCAGCATATTAGCAAAAGATAAGATATATAGTTTTTCATAACAAGTCACTCTTACTGTTACATCTGAATGATACAAATTGTTTTTTGTTATTAATATTATTATTGCTCACTGGTTAAGTCTTTTTATGGTAACTATAATTTTGGAATGCTCTTCGTCATTCAACATAATGAAACTAACATCGTCTTCATAGCTAGACGCTATCAACATCTCCGCAGTTAGACGAAATCAAAGTCGCCTTCGTCAGAACAGCGACAGAGTAGGCAAGGATCATCACATGTTAAATCGTTAAACCATAAGTGTTGTCTTATACCAATGGCTTAAATTAGATTTCTGATGCATTGCCTAAAACGGAAATCACTATCGGCAACTAAATTCAGATCTCTGATGCATCGCCTAAAACGAAAGTCACTATCGGATGCTTATATCAGATTTCTGATGCATCACCTAAAACGAAAGTCATTATATCAGCCTGCCGATATATGCATTAAATCGATATTTCGCGATGCATCAATTTATAGCCCAATCCTATTTGACACAACCTTTTTTTTTGCCCTTTATTATATTTCTTGATTGCTTTTCAGTTTTCCGAAAATTCCCATAAAATCTCAATTGATGAAAAATTCTTTGATTTTATGTTTCTTTACGCAATATTTCCTAGGTATAAATGCATTAAAGATAGTAAATATTTGCACTTTATTAATATAAATTAAACTAAGTCAAACTAAATCAGAGCAACAGCATACACAGTAACTTTTTGGTTAGCAAGCTGTTTTCATTACCCCATCACCAAATAACTATATCATGACCCAATTACTATCATCCATTTTAACTTACTGATCCCAATTCTAAAAAAAAATTCACAAATATACATATAATTACCTTTTAGCTCTATTCTGTCCTTCTTCTCTTAAAAAAATTAGATCTTTTTCATTAATACTATCATCAGCAGCAAATAAAATAACAATAGGAAGACCATGAAAGGGCAATCTGTCTTCTTGTTCTAAATTAGATAGCAAGGTCTTTTCTAAACTATCTCTGATATATTCCAAAGTAGTATGATTAGAATAAACACAAAAACAACCTAAAATGAAGCAAATAAATAAATCACAAAAAATTTGAAAACATATAATGCAACAAATATGAACAAACAAACAAATATATATATATATGGATTGCTCAGGTAAAGTATGGTATATCTGAAGTAGGCCAGCTCTTCTTTGGATACTTTCAATCAATGACTGTAAGGCTTGAACTAGACTTGTAACATCAAAACGTTGTTCAGGAGAATCATCAGCACAACTTACATCCAAAAAAGGACACTGAAGGCTAAAATAGAAAATTGATGAAATTTTAAAATATATANTTTTTTAAAGAAAGGGACAGAAGGTAAATAAACCAACATAAATGCAGATATAAAAATTTTTTAATTTAAAAAAATGAAATGATTAAACACGGCGTAATATAACTTGAGTTATTAAGTACAAAATTTGCTAATAAAAATCAACATTTTTGGATAATCAAGGCATTAACAAGTACATTTAGTTTTAAAGTTTATAGTCAATAGTATTACATTTTAATAGTTATATTCATTCAAATTTTCCTTAACTATGACTATTAAAGCATAACTCAAACATATTTTTCTTTTAGGAGTTTCGTGAGGAGCTGAAAAATGATGTCTTGATCAGATGCCTAATATTGCAGCAATATGGAATATTTATAAGTTTAATAACTAATGAGATGAGAACAACAAATATGAGAAATGTTCAGAATTTGTTATTTTTATTTACATACATCATGCATTACTACTACTATTAATACAACAAAATATACACCTATAAGGCAGTTTTGAGTTGAATATACTACTCCTTTTTACAATATATAAAAATATAGCAAGAAAAAAAGATAAATTGAAAGTTTCAATAATATTTATATATGCAATGTAGTTTAGAAATAAAAATAAATAATAATTCATTTCATATTTTTTATCAATAATTTAGTAAAAAGCATTAGTATTTTTTTCTATAATTAAAATTTTACAAATCTAGTCATTAAAAAGATTTTTTAATGCGTATTATATGCTCAATTTAAAATAAAAAGTAAAATTATTTAATTAAGCACAGTGAGTTGTAGCATTAAAAACAAAAATATATTCGTACTGGTTTAAATTTTTATTGTACAAACTCTACTATTTAGGTTGTTTTTCTAATCAAATTTGCTTCCATTTTTAACGTTTATAAAGTTCCAAGTTTATTTTTTCACTTCTTCTTAAGGATATAAATAGATTATCATTATATCCTTAAATTATATCATTATATTAAGGATCATTTTATTTCTAGATATAAATAAAATGTTATTATTGAAATGGAATTTTGCCATATTTACTTAAAAAATATACATTTTTGTCCTAAATTGATCGCAGCTGTGCTTAAAATTAATTCAGAATAATTATTTTTGAAAATTCGTTTTCTAATCTGTTTATAAATTAGTCATTTTCTATATAACTGTACCAGATTTTTTCAAAATTAATATATTTCGTTTAAAAAGATTGTGGTTCCACATTGTTAACGTACAATCTAACTAATGTAGTAATTATTTTTATACCCCTTTTATAATTTTTTTTACAAGTTTTTGAAAATATTAGTAAAGTTCTAATAAAAGTCAGCTCTTTTAATTTCAGCCGGCCTTTTTAAGTGGTTTAAATTAAAAAAATCTGACTTGGCTAAAATCTGTTAATCCAGGAATGTTGCATAAATATTATATTAAAAATATCATGATTTTCAGAAGTCTCTCAAAAATCAATAGTACTAACTGCCTATAAATTCATGGAACCATTACGTTAAAAAGTGAATACTTAAATAAGCAAATTGACTTTTTGTATCGCAATATTATATGAAATATATATCTGGATTTAAAAATATCATGTGGAAATCAATGGAAATAACTGCAAAAAAAAAAACTATTGCAATACTGCAGAGGTTCAACGCAAATTCAGGTCGTTGAAAAGTACTTACTCAACTGCACAATTTCAAATTGCTTGTGATTATTAGAATATTTTGATTTAATTGTAGCCAAATAAAAAGGGGCAAATATAATCATTGATTAAATAATTCTTCCGTAACAAATAATAATTCGTATTAATAGCAACTCATTTGTTTTTCCCACAGCAATTGAGTAATTATAATCGAAGCCAATTACTACAGAATTTTTCTTTTAGTCTCATTTTCCTGAAGTTTATCCAAAGTTGCATCTCTCTCTTAAAAATCTGTACAAAAAATAGATGATGTGCATCAACGAAAAGGAGTTGCACATAAGGAAGTAAATGTTTCGCCGATGAGGTTTTGCAAAATTTAAATTTCAGATTAGCGGAAGTAAGAAAAAATTTGTCAAATATTAAATTTTTGATTCCCGGAAGTCCATGATTAACAGTCTTCAGATTCATGGAATTCTGAGAATTAGCCAAAAAAAATCCTATGCCAGTAGTTATTTAAAAACCATAATATATCCATCAGCATTACAATGGTTCAAACGGGATCTTTACTTGGATATAATCTCTCTTTCCTTGATGAAAAGCTTTAGACTTTTTTTTCATTATTAATTTAAATCTAGAAGGTAATTCTTTGAAATCAGCCACAATACTATATGTGAAAATTTAACTTAGTGAAGAAATTAAGCTTGATTAAAGAGATGGATTTAAAAAAAAAAAAATTTGAATGTTGATGAAAAAAAGCATTTCACATACTTACAAAATGTAAGTATAAAAAATTTGAGTAAGTATAAAAACATTTAAACCAAGTAACTTAAAATTACGATTAAAAATTTTGAGATAACTTCTTATGTGTTTAAATGACAAGTACAAATGTGCCTAGAAATATTAACCTGGTTAGCAAGTTTATGTCTTCCTTTCACATGGCACAATGCCCTCTATCTATCAAAAAGTATTATGGTTTTAAAAACCAAATCTAAGTGTTATTGAAAATGGATAAGCATAAAAAAAATAATAAATATATAATTTAAGGGTAACTAAGAAATTAAACTTTCTTTTTACTAATAATCAGAATTGAAAAAAAAAATTTTTTTTTCTTCCTCACAACCATTTTTTTTCTTTCTTTTTCTTCTTTTTTTGGTGCAATATTTAATACAAAAAGTTAACTATCATTTAATATAAAAAGTATTTTTAAGTATCTTTTAGTATATATAAGTATCTTTTTTTTACTAAATATCATTAGTATAAAAAGAAATTTCATATAAAATTTTCTTATTATTAATTAGTATTTTCAAATAAACGATTAAAAAGTAATGAAAATTTAGTAATGCAAATAAAAAGAGTTTAGTAATGCGATTAAAAGTTTAGTAATGCAAATAAAAATTATATATCTATTTGTTGTATTAGTAATGCATGTTAAAAGACTCAGTTACCCTTTGCTTGTAAGTATATATAAAAATGTTTTATTAAACATAATTTAATGTAATTATTTAGCAGTATGATATATATTTACAATATAATCAATTCTAATACAAATTTTAATGAAATGGTGAACAAGAAAGGTGAATTTAAGGAACATATTTTTTTAATTAAAAAAGGATTGAGAAATAATGGATAAAGATATGTTTTAGTACTAATGATTTAATAATGAAGAAAGAAAAATTACTTTTTTGTTATTTATTTTAACACAATGTAGCTTTAAACATAAGAATATGCTTATAAATAAAGAGGCATCGAATAAAGTAATAAGCATTGAAAATGTTTTAAATTGATTTTAAATAGATTTTTTTAGATGTTCTTTATGTGAACATTGTATTTTGAAAATATTAGAATCATAAATAAAAACATTCTGTATTATACGATAAAAATTTGTTTACACTGGTATTTGAAAAATATTATATAAAAATAAACTGAGAAATAAAATAGATAATTCAGAATAGCATTTTATTTCCATTTATGCTTTGGATTCTTGCAAGTATAATGTATTACTTAACAAGATAAAAAACAGAGATACTTTTGATCTTAACTTGTCCTAAATTTTTTGGTTTTTAAAAAAAAAATTATTGAATCATTGGTTTGAACTTTCCAGCACAGCTAATAATTATTTCAGTTGTTTAATAAATATTTGAATGATGCCTTAAATAAAATTTTCAAAAATTTGAAATCTAGAAAGTGAATTTTTACATTGCAACAAAAATAAGACTTTTTTCAACTATTTCTTACGTTTCTTTACTAATCTATTTAAAGTATCAATACAAACGCCATGTTTGATATCGTTTAACCACACTTGGACAACTATTTATAGTTTTACTTGAATATGCAAATTTTCTGAACTTCAGAAACATTCTACTTCTTCATTAAGAAAAAAATCAGTACACATTTTTCATATTTTGTTCCTTTTATAATGTTCTCAGAAACTGAATTAACCCTTTCGAGCCGACTGTCACATATATGTGACAGCAAGAAACGCGCTCACTTCCCGGCCGACACACCCGCGTGTCAGAGAGTTTTCTCGTTCTCCCCCGACCGTCACATATTTGTGCCAGTGTTTCGGAACGTTTTAAAAAATGAAATTTCTTCCAAAAGATGGCATTGTATGTCCTTATGGTTTCAGATACATGTAGATTTGACCTTCTACTCAAGATGAAAGTACATTCACGTGGTTTTTAGGGGAAGGAGAGGAGGGGGGGAATGTTTTATGAGGGCTCTTTAAATTAGCACGTGATATTTATTTACAGTAAGTAAGGGAGTTTTTTTTATCTCTCGCTACTTTCGATTTTCGGATTAGTTTTTAGTGGATAATTAGATCTTGTAGGCTTGAATTTTTTTTCTTTTTACCGTTAGAATGTCGAAGCGTCGAAAATTTTTAACTGAGCTGGAAATAAAGGAAATTATGCGAAATATTTAAACTTATTAATATTTATATTACATTTAAACAAGAAATAACTTAAGTAAATAAAGTATCCATAGAAATATATATAAAGCATATGTCACTTAAATACTCTACAGAACAATATTAAACAACGCGCTGATATTTCGGTAATTTCATGGAATTAGGCTTAACATCGAAAAACCCTCCGGCCCTGGGGAGACACACG